TAATTAGGTGGTCATTTAGTGGAAGGTATTCATATACACATTTTGCCAGGTTCTTCTGTACCAGTATTGCTAAGCCTTTTTGACCAGTTTTATTGGCTCTCGTCACAAATATTTTATAGTAGTTGGATTTCCAGTGACCCTGACATTCCCAGTGGGTTTCTGAGACTGCACATATATCTACTTTTTCTGTCATAAGCTTTTGTTCTAAGATATGTAGTTTTCCTGGTTCTAACAAATTTCTAACGTTTCATGTGGCTATACGGTGTTTTGAACATAGTTTTATTTTTGGGTTTCCAGTCACCAATTTCGCAAATGTAGCCTGGTTGCCCACATCCATCTGCTCGGTCGTCCATTTCACACTCGTCGATCCGGACTCGACGTGGCCCCGGTTGCTTGCCGGATCGCATACCATTCTGTTACTTTCGTTTGTCATTTCATAACGTGCTCTGGAATATGTAATCAAGTGGTTTTCCGTTTGCCTGCTTGATCATTATGCCGTTGACACATTGTTGGTTCATCCGCCTTTGGAGCCGATTTCTCAACTCCAGGGCAAAAGAGTGACCTAAACACTTACTAACTCATCCACCCGAAGAAGTTGGTCAGTAAGTGGGGGATTGCTTATACCGGCAATCACTCGGTGAAATTTTCGCCATATCTGGCTACCCTCACTTAGTTTAGCCTGTAGGCCAATGGAGTTGCCCGGGGTGTGGCACGTGGAGCCATAAGTGAGAGTTAGGTGCCTTATGAGGATCAGTTATCAAGAACAATCTCCCGTCTATGACGCTCGATGTGGTCATTTTAATAAAAGGTACTACCTATATAACATAACCCTACACCCTGTTATTAACTGTAAAATATTATTAATAATAATATTGTCAGCGAATTATTTATTTATTTCTTTTAACACTTCAATCATTTTGCTGACTTTAAATGTCGCTGAAGGTTTAGTTGTAGAAAATAAAATGATTAAAAAAGTTTTATTTAAAAATCCTTTATTAAAGGTATATAATTAAAAAGACCCTTTCATTCTACATCACACAACGCTTTCGGACTAAAAAGTTCATCAGCAGTGTATTATTTCCAGGTATACATGATTCAACCCACTAAATATCTGGGTAAAAACCATTAAAAAGTTACAAAATTTGTTATGTTACATTATTGTTAAAAATATGGTGTGATGTTAAAGTATTAAACAGATACCCCGCAGGACAACATATGACTCCCAATAGGGGTTGTTGCTGACCCTCAGGCGATGTCTGAATGACAATGTCTGAAATACGGCGACACCCTGTAATTGTCCGTGTCACTATCGAATTACATGAAATATTTTAGATTTATGTTCTACTTACCCTCCACTTTCAAATTGGACTTGGTTGCCTTGGTGCTTTTGGTTGACTTTTTATTTTTTAGGGGTGAAAGCTATCCCATCAGAAAAAAATCGTATAATTTTAAACCAAAGCAGGTTATTGATTCAAATCATATTTTAATGAAGTGAATGAATGTCAATTATCCTTAAACAATATAAATTTGGATTTTATCATGGATTAACCCCTAAATCTCATCCCCTAGATTAGTTATAATTAAAACAATGTAATTGAATGCCTTGTCTTTAATGATTTGCATGGAAATTTGGATTTAGGCTATACTTACCCGCCACCTCAAAATTAGTCTTGTGCCGTTGGTTGCTTTTGATTTTTTAGGGGTGAAAACTACCCCTATCAGAATGAAATTAAAGAGTTGTAAATTTAAGCAATTTGGAATTATTTAATTATACAGTGACATTAAATTTAGATTTCTTCACTATTTAAATTTTTTGCCATATAATTTCTACCCTTATAAAAACCAGCCCTTGTGACGAAATTCAAATAGTTATAGTATTTTTTTTTATTGAAATTACACATATATACCCTTATAAAAGCCAGCCCTTGTGACGAAATTCAAATAGTTATAGTATTTTTTTTTTTTATTGAAATTACACATATATACAAATTCTTCTTTTAAATGTGCCTATCTTCTAGAGATGTTGGCGACCACATTAACCCATCTTATTCGTTAGACCAGTTCATTTCCTAAGATTGACCAGCCACGATATACGTCTACGTCCAGACCCCTCTTACTCTCAAGCTTGCCCTGTATAATAAACTGGAGAAGTCGGTATTTATCATTATGCATGATGTGGCCGAAGTATGCCAATTTTCTATTTTTTATGGTGTGTAAGCCAATTTTCTCAATATACGTCGGTAGCACCACATTTCAAATGACTCTAATCGTTTTATAGCATCTTCTGTAAGGCTCCAGCTTTCTACTCCAAAAGAGGAGGATACTAAAAACGTAACATCTAATACTCTTGTGCGTATATTGCTACTTGTAAGATAAGTTGCAGACAATCTTCCTAAGCCTGTTAAAAGAGCTTCTGGTTTTTTTAATACAGTTTTTATTTCGTCGCTGCGATCACAAGTATCCTTAATAATGCAGCCCAAATAGCATATTTTTCCACTCTTTCTAACGGTGTATCACCTATTGTAATTTGGGCGTTTATATTGGTATTCTTACTAATGATCATTATTTTTGTCTTCTGGCAATTAAGTTTTAGGCCGTATTTGTTACATGCTTCTACAACGTTATCAATCATCCTTTGGAGACCCTGCGCACTATCTGCCAGCAACACTGTATCGTCTGCATATCTAATATTGTTTATAAGTTGGCCATTTACAGCAATTCCATCTTGTAATTCGTCCAAGGCCTCTCTAAAGATGTTTTTAGAGTATATGTTAAATAATGACTGGTGACAATATGTAACTCTGTCTAACTTCTTATGATTCACTTACCTCGGAACTACCCTCAACTCACAATGGGACTACGCTCAAGAGATTAGATCCAGAATTGATGTAGCACGGTCTACATTTATCAAGTTGAGATCCTTGCTGTACTGCAGTGCTCTCAGTTTGGGAACTAAGATGCGGATAGTGAGGTGCTACGTTCTTCCAAAGTTGCTATATGGAGGAACACGTGTGGACACTGACGCAAGCGACAGAAAGGCGGATTGAAGCCTTTGAGATGTGGATCTACAGTAGGCTACTAAAAATATCGCATGTAGATCATGTCACCAACGTGGAGGTCCTACAATGCATGAGAAAAGAAAAAGAAGTGCTTAATTTCGTGAAAGAACTTAAGCTTGAGTACCTCGGGTACGTGATGCGGAACGAAGAAAAATATCGAATTCTTCAACTGTTCCTTCATCATCATCATCAATCAGCCCTGAGTTGTCCATTGTTGAACATAGGCCTCCTCTGGATTTTTCCATCTGCTTCTGTTCTGCGCCTCTGCTATCCAATTGGTCACGATTCTTATGAGGTCGTCGGTCCATCGCGTTGGGGGTCTTCCTCGGCTTCGCTTGTCAGCCCGTGGTCTCCACTCAAGCAATTTTTTTTCTAACTATCGTCTTTTATTCTTGCAACATGTCCTGCCCATCTCCATTTTTGCCTTGTAATATGTTCGATAATGTCCTCCACTCCGGTTCGTCTACGAACTTCCTCGTTTCTTACTCTATTTCTTAAGCTTATTCCAAGCATTGATTTCTCCATCTTTCATTGTGTCCTTCTCAATTTTTCGGCTGATGTTTTTGTGAGAGTTAAGGTTTCTGCTCCGTATGTGAGGACTGGTAGAACGCACTGGTTAAAAGCTTTTTTTTTTTAAATGGATCGGTTTCAACTGGTTATACAGGGTAAAGTATTTGGTAGGAGAGGACCAGGACGCCGTCGTATCTCATGGTTAAAAAACCTCCGACAATGGTTCTGGATTACCTCCGCGGAGCTGTTTCGCAGAGCAGTCAACAAAACCATGATAGCCTTAATGATCGCCAACATCCGGACCGGATAAGGCACTTAAGAAGAATAAGTTTAACTCCTTCTTTGACTGTGAAGATCTCGGACAGTTCATTTTCTAATCGTACTGTTGCTTTTTGTTGGAGATATAAGTTTCAGACAGTCTTATATCCTTACCATCGAGTCCTGATGTTTTTAGGATATCGATTAGTTTCCCATGTGGGACTTTATCAAATGCCTTCTCGAAATCAATGAAACATGCATACACCTCGCAGTTGACATCCCTGGCTCTTTGTATTAGAACTTGCAAACTAAAAAGTGCTTCCCTCGTTCTGAGTCCTGCTCTGACACAAAATTAAACTTCACTCAGGTGTTCTTCTAATTGCAGTTTTCTAGACTGTCATGTTGTTAACAAAGTGTAAATGTTAAATTTTGGTTAATTATGACTACTAGGTATTTAGCTTAGTGTTGCCATTCGATGGGTCTGATTTGCACTATTAGCTGTTCTTCTGAGTTGTCTTTTCTCTTTTTGAAGATAACCGCTTGGGTTTTTTTCTGGATTGATTGCGATTTTTTATTTTATACTCCCTTGATAACTTCTCTACAATCTTACTGACTACTAGAAGTAAGCTAACCGACCTGTAATTTTGCGAAAATATATGATTCTTTCCTGGCTTTGGCATTATGATTACATGGGCTTTCTTAATCGGTTTGGGAAGAGCCTATGTCTTAGTTTGTTATTTTTGTCAAATATACAATTCTTTTTGAAGGAAGATACTCTGTTAGTTTTTAGTCTGGACTAGGTGCTTTCTTTGATAAACTTTTTGTAATGAGTTCACTTATTTGTCTTGATGATGTGGAATCTATTATTTCTTGTCATAACCTCCCTAACATCAAAATAAATATGCATAGAAAACATTTTAGAGAACACTATACGTTCTAGAATCCCAGTGCCTTAGAATCAGGCCACATTCTAATATTATAAGTTGAGTTTTTAGAAAGTTGTTGTAAATTTATAAACTAAACGATTAATATTGGTGTTTCATAAATTGCAGAGGTTACATCCTACATTATTTTCAATTGCATATTTAAAATAGAGTAGGTTTAGATATAAAGTATATGTTTTTGTTAAATGCGTAATTGATTAGATGAGGATAATAAAACTACAGCTTGATTTTAATAAATATTAATAACAAATAGAAATTAAAGATCATTGATACTTAAAATATCGATAGTCAATGTTTTATAATCCATCAAAAGCTTCATCAAAGACGTCTTTCGGAAAGCAGCTCCTGGAGTATAGACCCCTCCACTAAAACAATTGTAGTTTAATTAGGACATTTTTAAAATTTTAATTATAAAAAATCATTTACTGATTTGGTATATTAAACAGTGTTAAACTGTTTTCGATAATTTTACACGTGTATGAATCAATACCTCTTACCTCCATACCTCATAGGAAGAGAGTAACTTGACAAGATCTTGGACCGCAGATATGGTTGTTCTGATCTTAGAATGAAAATCCTTCATGATTTATACAGAGTACAATCAAAAAAGTGGTGATCGCAAAAATAACCATACACTACAGGAAAGTAAACAAGAATAAAATTGAACAGGAGAAGGTAGCAGCTTCCACAAAGATAAGATATAATATTGATAGCCTAAAACAAGAATCAATACAATTCCTCTACAAACTTAGACTAGCTTCAAAACTAACTCGAAGAGAAACAGCCGAAAAAGAATATCAAGATATAAAAAATTGTATTCATCAGGCGGCCAAAGAGGCATTGGGGTACGAAGAAGCTGACAAAAGAAAACATCCTGAGTAGTGGAACGAAGAAGTAGGAAAATTAATTAAAGACAAAAAAAGCTTATCAAACATGGCTATCCACGAAAGGCTCACAAGACCGTAGAATTTACAGCAGACTCAACAGGGAAGCAAAGAAGAAAGTCGCTAAAAAAAAACGAACTGTGGGAAGAGAAATGCGAAGAGATGGACCGATGCTTAGGAGGAACCAAAGTGACACAAGCTTGGAAATTCATAAAAAGTATTAGCAAAAAAAGAAAAGATGAAGGAAATATAAACATGATTCAAAATAAAAAGTGGGAAAAATATTACGAAACGCTATTAACAGAAAGTAGGCACGAATTAATGGAAAGACCTGACCATATCTCAATGACAGAAAACTCAGAGGTGCATAAGATAAACAAAGAAGTACTGAAAAAAGAATTGAAACAAATGAAGAATGGAAAAACACCCGGGCCTGGAGACATTGCCGTCGAATTGGTGAAACATGGACGGATGCTCTTTTGGAAAACTTAGTGAATATTTTTAATAAATGCTTAATTGAAGGCCAAACGATTCCAGACGATTGAAATTTGGCCCACACTAGCCCCATTTATAAAAAGGGAGACAGGAAAGAGTGCGGAAATTATAGAGGCATTAGCGTAACTAGCTAGCTGGGAAGGTTATATTGTCGTATATTGAAAATTAGAAGAGAAGAGGAGTATAAAGAAATTGTAGAATAAAGCAGCTTCAGAGCAGGAAGATCGTGCGTGGACAACACATTTACCCTTCAACAAGTAATTGAAAAACGAACAGCTCGAAAACTCCCTACGCATCTGGTATTTATAGATCTTGAGATACAGTTCCTTTAAAACTCTTATTTAGTGTCTTGACGAAAACGGACCTTAGTAAAACATATCTAAAAGCAATACTGAACATCTATAAATGTCCTCAAAGCACTGTAAAAACAGGAAATACTTTCTCAAGGGTATTTACAGTAACGAAAGGCTTGAGACAAGGATGTTGTTTTTCCCCCACCCTATTCAAAATATATATCCAAGAAGCACTACACCAATGGAGACAAGAATGTGCGGGAATGGGGTTGAAGCTTAACAACCATTATCTGACAACGCTGTTCTTTGCAGATGATCAAGTACTAATTGCAAGCTATGAAGAAGATGCAGATTATATGCTTAGAAAGCTCAAAGATGAATACGAAAAATGGGGGATGAGTATGAATATGTCAAAAACAGAATATATGCGAATAGGCAGTGAAGACGAAGACCCGGATTTGGAAATTAGACAAATGAAAAGGTGCTACGAATACAAATATTTGGGAAGTATTACCTGTAGTAAAGGAACAACGGAACGAGATATAGACTATAGAGTGTAACAAGGTAGGAAGAGTGTTCAAATTCTGAATTCGATACTTTGGTCCAACAAAGCTACTATGAGAACTAAAATGACTATCTACAAAGTCATTGTAGAGCCCATTCTTACATATGGAGCTGAATGTTGGCAAATGACAGTAAAAGGAAAGAAAAAAGTTGACACGGTTGAAATGGACTACCTGAGAAGAGCTTGCCGTATATCAAGAGTAGAACGTATACCTAATTCTGAAATTAGAAGAAAAACAGATAGAGTACATACAACTTCTGAAAGAATAGAAACTAGACAGTTAATATGGTATGGACACTGGTCTTGGATACAAGGTGTTATGGAAACCATGAAAGACAGAGCCATTGAAGAAGACACCTGGAGAGATAGAAAAAGATGGCGATCGAAATGCGGGAAGCGGCAGAAGCTGTAGGATCCCCGCTTATGTATGTATGTACAATCGAAAAAGTTTATAAATAAAACAAAAATGTTTGATTTCACACTGTAAATATAATAAAAGAAAAAGGCTACTTAAAAAAGAAAAATGCTTATGGATCAGTTGAAGGACAGACAGTTAATACTAGCAATAATTCATAAAGATAAAAGGCACAGATGCTCACCATCCTAGATATGTGAAGAAAAATATATAAAGCAAATTAAAAATATTTCTAATAATGATCAATTTTAAGAAGATTGGTGTAGATATCAGTTTGATAGGGTTTACCTGGGTGGTAGTTTTTCTCGTTCGGTTAAGATCATCACAGCTGAACCAACAATGCCAGCACAAGTAAGAGCATATCCAGGATTTTTCGCTTTTAGTTGGGCTACTATACTTTTGTTAGGAGGCGTACTATACTGAGCATCCTTATCCGGCAACTTCTCTTTCCATCCTTCACCGTACCAAGTTATCTGGTACCAACAATTTTCTACGATCTTATCTTCGGGCAATTTGTCTTTGCTGAATAGACCGTATGTAAATGCTCGGGGGTACTAAAAGAAAAAAAATATATTTAGTACACTGGAAAATAGGAAAGACGTATTTATTATATAAGATTTAGACAATATATATTGAGATTTTTTTGCGTAAGTAAGTAAGTAAGAGTAAGGGCTTTTCCCCAACTATATAAGCTGTCAGCACATCTACCGCTGCTTGTTCTTATTCTGTTTAGCGTTATCCACGTATTGCGGGTCAGTTCAAAGCCTGGCGGTTTCTGATCGATACAGGTCATTTGATGTGCTTCCTGTGGTGAGTCGCTTTCCCATTGTGTTCTCCAAGCATTGGTCAGGTTAAAATATTCCTGATGTATGGAGTTGGCTCTTAGCAATGGAGGATATCTGGAGCGCAGTCTGTTTATTTCGATATCAAGCTTATCTTGGTGGATGGGTAGTTGATGGTTAGCCTCAATTTTTCGATATTCTGTGAGAAGAGAATGACTTCTTCGCAGTTTCGGCGGTGGAATGTGACTCAGAATGGGAAGCCAATAGTTCGATGTGGGTCTAATTGTACCTGAGATCATTCGCATTGTCTGGTTTAATTGGGTGTCAATAATCTTCGTGTGTTTGCTATTGAGCCATACCGAGGAAGCATATTCAGCCACCGAGTATACAAGTCAGAGAGCAGATGATCTGAGTACGGAGGCTGAGGACCACCATGTAGTGCCACATAGCTTTTGGACTATATTATTTCTTGTTTTCAGTTTTGCTGTCGTTTTTTGAAGATGTTCTTTAAAACCCAATGTTCTATCCAGAGTCACTCCAAGATATTTTGGTGTTGAGTTATGAGTGAGCAGTCTATTTTCGAAGTGGACGGAGAGTTTTTTGTTGGCTTGGGCATTATTCAGATGGAAACAGCACACTTCGTTGCATTGGGAAGTAGCCTCCATTTGCGAAAGTATTCTCTCATAATGGCAAGGTCATCCGCTAATATTGTTTCTGTGATATCCATGTTATTATGTCTTGCTGCAATGGCCCAATCGTCAGCGTAGCCAAATTTCTGCGAAGTTGTCCTATGTAGGTCTGCGATGTATAAATTGAACAGTAAGGGTGCCAAAACAGATCCCTGTGGCAGTCCATTGCTGAGCTTCATTTGGAAACTTTAGAATTGCCCATTGTGACTTAAAAGGGTCTGTCGATGAGCATGTTATCAATAAGTTTAGTTACCTTTTGACACGGGACGGCACGGATTAGTTTGAAGATTAGTCCTTGTCTCCAGACAGTATCGTATGCAGCTGATAGGTCAATAAAAGCAACGGATGTTTTTCGCTTTCTTTGAAAACCAGCATATCTGTATAGAAATCAGCCAGCCATTTCCTAGCATATTTGCCACAGTGGAGTAAAAATTCTGGATGAATTTTATCGGAGCCGGGTGCCTTTCCAGATTTAATTTCTGATATTGCTGAAATAATTTCTTCTGCAGTAAACTCGTCAGAGTATTCAGATGTAGGCGAGCATGCAGACTTTATTACTTTAAGTTCTTATTTCTCTTTAATTGGGAGGCTGCTACTACCAAGAAGTTTTCTAAGTAAAGACCATGCTTTTCTGCTTGATTTACTAAAGTCTAATTTTTCCACAGTTTCCATCCATTTTTGTCGTCTGGCTGCATCCAAACTGTGCAGTAGTTTGTCCGCAATTTCTCTATCTTGGCTTTCGTTGTATACTTGATACAATTTCTCACATTTTTCATCCCATTCTGGGAATACTCTTTACGATATCCTCTGGGTATAGTTTTCTTCGATGTAGAGATAACCGCGCCAACAAATCTCATATATTTTAAACGTGTTGAGAGGATGTATCCCAGACATTTGTCCAATCTTTCAGTAAAAGTCGCCCAGTCTGCTTTTTGAAAGTTCCACCTAGGTCGGGGAAAAGATGATATTATTGGTATTTTGATTCCAATTTCTATTACAACTGGTCTATGTTGGCTATGTGGACAATCTGGCAATACTGTACGTGAAGCTGCCAGTGGTTGATTGTTTTCATTTGTGGAAATAAAACATAGGTCTGGGTTGTATTCTCGCCTCCAGACTGCAGATCGAAAAGTTCCCCGATCTTTAGCGTCAAAGACTAAATAAGTGTCAACTTCTTCGCTCCAGTTTATTAGAGCCTTGCCGTTTTGATCATTGTGCCTATACTTCCAGAGTTCATGATGACTGTTGAAGTCTCCCGCATAAACTGAGGGGTGTGGGTGGGCGTGAATAACATGCGGAGGCCACAGGACTGCCGGGGGTTTATAAATATTGCTAACAGTAATTTCGCCAATTTATATAGTAACCGTATGAATGTTATTTATGTCTGATGTAGAACGTATGTATGCATTTTCTATTTTGTTTCGAACATAAGTTGCCACTTCATAAGCTGGATGGTAAGTTGCACCCAATAAATCAAAGCCATGAATTCTTCCTCTAGCGAGAATTTGTTCTTCGTTTTCTACATGGGTTTCCTGAATTGCGACTACGTCAATATTATTTTTAATGAGTACCTTTTGAAGGTACTCACATATACTTCTACTAATACCTTCTATATTTAAATGCCAGATTCAGATGCTTGGTCCGAGTCCTTTTGTCGCTTGGTCCTGAGTCCATTTAAATTGTTGGTTGGAGGCATATCTTATATTGGTGATGTGTTCTTGACAGGAGATCTAGAAATAATAGGTTGTCTGGCTGCCTATTGCGCTAATTCATTTAGCATTACCCAGGGTGCACGTGTAGTATTCTACTAAGGACGCGAACTAGCTTTACACCATTGTTTAGTAGATGATATTATACAGTACTTAAAATCTAAGGTTTACGCTACAGAGCCCGACAGTATTGACATTTTAAAACAACAAATTGTAGAAGAATGCATTACTATCAGGAAATAGATTATGCTCATTTTGAATACTTAATATAAAAACTGGTTCTTAAATCTTTACTAATTAAATGTGAAACTACAATTTTGATATTTATTAAATTTTTTCATCAAAATCAACTTAAACCCAAGCAAAATTAGTATGATTGACAAGGTATTTTCAATACCTTTCAAACGAGATATTCTTGCCATAAAATCCCTTTTAGAATTATAGATCACAGTGACCTGTTATGACTAGTTGGGAGCCTATGTCCGTTTATTTACTACCTGCAAATTTGACTTTTATAAGTGTAACCCTTCAAAAAATATGAGGGGATGGGACTTTTGTCTAGCACTGTATATAATATTTTTGCTTTAAACGGAATGAGAAATATTTACAGATCTGTATAAGGCACTTGTAATCTTTTGCCGTAAAAACTATACTACCATACTTTTCCAAATGTAGTATAGATAATATGTGGTATAAAAATCTTAGTATTCTTATACGCCACATGTCTGGCTACGAAAATTGTTTAAATATATCTGCTATACTTACATTAAGTAAAAGATATCTGCCACACCAAAACTGAGCAAACATCAACCATACCGAAAATCCGATAGAAATTCCTATTAAATGAAGTGTACTTTTAATATTAATAAGAGTTTCTACTTGAACCGGACGCTTATTCTCATGTTCGTATAAATAAGTTTGTGACTTTCTCATGACTTGCTTATCCACAGCAGGATAGACTAGTGACCACCCGTCTACTACTTTGGCATGGTGAGGAAAATAGCTGAAATCGCAGAAAAAGCTATATTAGATTGGTTGATCTATTTATTTTGAAAACTTCTTTGCAGTAGGTTTTTTAACCACTTGTTTATATTATATTTAAATTTAGATCCGTGCATATAAAGAGCCATAAATTTTTCGATTTATTTAGTGTTCATTGACGTAGAGAGGGCCTATGATACTACATTGAAAAGCATGCAGTTTGCATACATCAACGCTTTATCGAACATGTAGATATATAAACACAAAAAGGGCCGTTAACATGGAGAATAGAATTTCAGGCGCAGTTTCTGTTACAAAAGGCTTGAATCAAAGATGTTCTTTATCTGTCAACTCTATTCAAAATTTATATTCAGTGAAAAGTGATTATGACAAACGATGATGAAGATATAAATTATATAATTTGAAGGTTAACTGAGGAATACGAAAATTAGAAATATAAATGAATGCAAAGAATTTAAACACCTAGGTAAACACGAATGAAGAAATATCGAAACAGGGCATTCAGCAGAAAATACAACGGGACCTAAAATGTGATAAAAACACTAAACTCACTGCTTTGGTCTCCTAACATTAGTTTCAAACAAAAATCACAATCTACAAGTCTGTTGTAGAACCAATTTTGACGTACGGATCTGAATATTGGCAAATAACGACGAAATAGAAGAAAAAACTGGAAGTAGTTGAAAACCACTATATAAAAAGAGCGTGTCAGATATCCAGACTTGATCACATCAAAATGAAAAAGTCAGAAGAAAAATAGGAAGGATTTACAATACTGTAAATACAAAAAAATCCAAATAACTTTTATGATACGAGCATGTAATGAGAATGGAAGAGAAATGCTGGCCAAAACATGACTTAAACCATGTTCTATGGAATTGAAGATGGAGTGCAAGACCAGCTTTAGACAAGGAGAGAAGGAATCGGTGGAATAATGAGAAATAGAGCCATAATGAGGATGAATGGACTAACCAAAAGTGGTGAAAATCTAAATTCGAAATGCAGCAGAGGCTCTGGGACCCCCGTAGATATATGATATACATATAAAGAGATCGGAGTCTATGAAATGAACATAAAAGAAATACATTTTTTGCAACAGCACATAACGTATCCACTCACTATTTTGATAATTAGACTTACGGTCCCATTACTCACTTAGGCAGAATGTCAGTTTTAAATGAAAGACGAAAGGCTTCCTTCTTATATAAAAATATTCTGATATATACCGATTGGTTCCAACAAGACAGCTTTATTTTCGATAAGCGATATCAAAATAAATCATGCAGAGTGCAGAAGTCGAAATTATATTGGCCGGATAATCACGTCCGTGCCGGAAAACACTTCGGTGTCGATTCATCTGCAGATTTATTTACATCACATGCGATCCGGGCAATATTAAACCGCCTTCGCAATAGCAGAACATCCATTTAAAAATCGTTATCCGTTATTTTTCTCACAATTTGTACTATCACTTGACGATCTATCTGTACGGACCGAGAAAACAGTGAAGGACGTTCATCTAGGTGAGAAGGGGCTCTGGCTGTCGTTATGTTATGAATATTAGATAAGAGAAAACTTCAGTGTTAATTGATAACTATATAAAAATAAAATAAATATTTACGTTTTACTTTAAAAGACATAACTTACTTTACTTTTAGCTCCGGTTGAAAGGGAGCAGGTTTTCTACCAGGAAACATTCTTTCCTTTAGCCTTCTGAATTGTGTACCATGCTTCATTCCATGAACAAGACTGGCCCAAGTTCCATAACCTACTCCCGGTCCTGAGCTTTTATCGTCCTGCCAGGCTTCCAAATATGCTACTAATGAATTAAGAACGCCGTCGAATTTTTCTTCGAGGTAAGTCAAACCCAAATCAGTAGGAATGCATTCCATGCCGCACGTTGTTACCACATAAACACCTGAAATGAATATTAATTTTATACTACTAGAAGCAAAAGAATTCTATAAAACAGTAGAAAGGAAATGTATTCTGATTTTTAAAAGTAGAAAGTTAGGATTCATCCTGTTATTTATTTTGACCTACATTATCTGAATCTGGATCCACATTATCGTCATATAACTAGATCTCAATTCTTCGCTCTTGTTGTTGTTGAAAAACGTTTTTTTCTAAATATTCTTTCAAAAGTTTCAGTCTCTTAAAAGAGTCTGTGGACATGAATTTGTGTATTACTGTTAGTATTTGGATCTCAAATGACCACTCCATGCGGAACCAAATTGACCACGTAATTATCGATGCTAGACATGAAAGTAATGTGCTGGATGTAAGAAGCCTCAGGGGAGTAGATGGACATATAGATCATTACCTATAAAGAGCAAAAATCAGGTTGAGAATATATTCAGAGAAACCTAAAGCCAACGAAACATTGGGATAGTGAAACATCGAAAAAATGCAAAATGAGGAAATCCGAGAAAATTACAAACAAGAAATTAAACAGCATCTAAATACAGTAGACCAGAGCAATGATGTCGAAAGGCTATGGTAACAAATGGAAAAATCAATTACGGAGTTAGCATAATTAATAATAGGAAAAAGCAGAAAGAGAACAAGGAAATGGTTTGATAGAGAATGTCAAGAAAAACTACACGACAGACAGATAAAGCGAAACATTATGCTTTAACAAGGAACAACATAAAGTAAAGAAAACTATGCAACTTCACGCCAAGAAACAAGAAAATTAGTTAGACAGAAAAAGAGGAAGTACGAACAACAGAAATATGAAGAAATGGAAAGGAATAGGCAACAGTCAAATAGTCGAGCATTTTACAAATCAGTGTCAAACGAAAAGAAAGGCTTCAGACCTAGATGCGTGTCTGTACTCAGAAAAAATGATGAATTAATAATAAATGAAAAAGAACTGCTCCAAACATGTCAAGAATATTTCAAGACTTTACTAAACATACATCAAGAGGAATAACATGTAGAAAATATATATTTTAGGGTGGACCTACCGGTAGAGGATCCCAAAATAGATGAAAACATTGCAAGCAACTAACAAATTGAAGAACGGAAAAGCTCCAGGCTCTGACAATATACTATCTACAAATTCCTTAAGTACGGAGGAGAAATTACTAGACAAATACACAAACTAATAACACTTATATGGAACGAAGAGAAAATACCAACAAAATGGTACGAAAGTGTAATAATCCCCATCCATAAAAAGGGAGACAAAACCAAATTCTCTAATTATAGAGGCATCTCCCTACTTAATACGACATTATAAAATCTTGTCGAACATCCTATTAAGTAGGCTGACACCATTTATAGAAAATTTCATGGGGAATACCAAGATGGTTTCGGAAAATATAGATCGACCATAGATCAGATCTTTACTCTAAGACAGTGCTTGAAAAAGAATTTGAATTCAATAAAACTATCCATAATCTCCTCATAGATTTCCGGCAAGCGTATGACAGCATTAAAAGGGATCAGATGTGGAATGAAATTAACAAATTTTTCAGTTCCAAAAAACTTATCCAGCTTGGTAAGTTATAAAACTGTAGATCCAGAGTATATATATATATATATATATATATATATATATATATATATATGTATATAAATATATCCGGTTTTTTAGGCGTTACGCCCGTCCGGTAGGGATCTATGGAGGAGTATCACCGAGCCGCAAGCCCTTATCTCTTGCCGTACTGCTCCACCATAGGCCGATCAGATCCCAGCATATTCTAGTCTAAGCCGCAGATTCATCTAGAATTTTAAACTGCTGCGTTAGACTTTTTGTTTTCTGTACACCGAGCTGGGGCTCGATCCCGCATCCACTGAACCATTCGACAGTGAAGCGAATGAGAGGCAGCCGCACAGCCCGCTAAGCTATCTGACCGACTGAGCTGTCTGATCTGAGCTATCCAGAGTACTGATAGATAACAAACTCTCAGAATCTTTCAAAATAAGCAGTGTGAAACAAGGAGATGCGCTGTCAACTCTCCTTTTTAATATAATCCTGGAGAAAGTAGTAAGAACAGCGCAACTTAAAGCAGAATTACTGACAGTAAAGAGACCAAAATTACTACTAGCATACGCAGATAACATTGACATTGTGGGAAACACAGTCACCAACGTGAAGGAGACTATTAATAAATTGGAGGTAGAGGCAAAAAAAACTGGTTTAAGGGTAAACGGTGAGAAAACCAAATAGATGCGCATCAACAGACAAAAGGGACGAGATAGAATAGGGCAAAATGTTACAATAGACCCATATAACTTTAAAAGAGCGGAGAGTTTTAAATATCTGGATAACGATATCGCGGAAGAGATTAAAGGAAGAATTCAAGCAGCAAACAGATTTATGTACAGCCTCCACAGTACTATTAAATCTAACACCCTAACACGAACATCAAAGATTAGAATATATAAAACGGTGATTAGACCGGTGTTTATGTATGGGTGTGAGACGTGGACCCTGATGAAGGAAACTGAAAGAAAACTTAGATGTTTTGAGAGGAAAATCCATAGAAGAATCTTTGGACCTTATTACGACGTTAATAGTAACCAATACCAAATGAGAACAAATCCTGAGGTCAAGCAGATGTATAAAGCGAGCGACATAGTCCAAGAGATTAAATCTCAACATCTAAGATGTCATAGACCATGTCCATAGTTCTCCCAATAACCGCCTTGCCCAGTTAATATGGGAGGAAGCCCTCACAAAAAGAAGGCCCTTAGGACGTCCACGAATGCGATGTAGAGACAATATATGGTCAGATCTAAGAACAATGGGGCTACCCCCTGACCCAACTATTATGGACGAGCGTTCAAGATGGAAGTAGCTCCACCCCGGGTTGTAGTGCTACGGGAAAAAGAAGAAGAATTTGGATCTCTTGTTATTGATACATATTTCCTATCCAAATCTAGTGATTTTTGATACGGGTTAGCCTTATAGTTGTTTGAGATCCAGTATTTTTACCACGAATATTTTATGAACTATATTTCCTTTTTCGCTAATTGTTGTAATACAAAAATAAAATCTATACTTAAAACTGATTTTAAAATAGTAACATTACTGCTTCTTAAAAAGTAATATTATATGAACAATTTGGTTTTAACATAGATCTGCGTCAAAGTTACTACATAAAGTAAATTAACTTATCCACTTATTGAACGCAAGAGAGATACATCTAGAATGATCAAAACGATCAAGAATGGCTACCAATAACACAATAAAAGTAAAAGTAGAAAGTACTAAGTGACCCTATAGAAGCTGGCAATGGATAAGACAGGAGATTTCGTGAGTCCTCTATTGTTCAACGTTATTATAGATCAAGCATTAAAAAAAGTAAGAATTGAAAAAAGTAAGAGGGAAAAATCCTCTTTGGCAGCATACCATAGTTTAAAAAAGGTTGCAAAGAATTAAAAACTAGTGATGATGGTATATTATTTTATTAAAAATAATTAAAATTTATCCAAAAAACTACAATTGTTCCAAATGTTTTGGAACCAGTCGAACCATCATTTGTGACACATTTTAAAACGTAGTTGAAACTAGCTGCTGAACTATATTTAAAAACCTTTAAATTAGATGAAAATCAGGGTTATATTTATTAAGGTGATGACACAATGTCAATGTTATGAGATTACACCTAAAGGAGAGATCCCTCAAAAGTATAGTGATCTATGCTAAAATTTTGTTCGGCATTTCTAGCTCTGTCTCTGTTATTTACTATACCTTCCATAAAAATAGATATATTAAAAAATTGTAGTTAATAGATAAACACTTTAAAATCTTTTTGTTACCTTTTTCCTTAGCCGCTTCGTGGCAGTCCGTAGAAAGCATATCTACAAATTCTGGTTCAGCGGTAACATCGACGTGATGAGTCCCAGCAGCTATACATGCTTCTACTACAGGTTTCCCTAGATATTTATATGGTCCACAACAGTTTATTAGGACTCTAGTTTTCTTTACCATTTGTTTGATCGACTCATGGTCTTTAATATCTGCCACTATTATTGGAATATTTGACAAATCAGCACCTGGAAAATTGCAATAATATGGGTTTTAATTATAAGGATAAATTTAAAAGATAAGATTCAAAAATTGTTCAAAAGTGTTTGGTTGTAGTATTACAAATGCTTTTGCAAACAATATTATATGGTTATAAAGAATTATAAAAATTATTGCTAGAAAATGTTTTGAAGCGAAGCTTCTATGCTAGCGTTGTATTACTTTTTCTCTACAGTGAAATGCTGAGACAAACGACATGGAAATAGCGCCACAAAATGGCGTCGTCACGGATGGCGATATAGAATAGTATGAAGCTTCGCGCTAATCTACTGTACCGCCTACTATACCATCGTTTGAAGCGAAGCTGCTATACTGTCGTTTTATTACTTTGTTATCTATAGTAAAATGCTGAGGAGAATGTCACGAAACTAGCGCTACGCGAAGACATCACGGATAGTGTCATAAAAGGACGGTTCTTCACATCGAATTACTACTTTCGATTAATTCTTTTTTAATTATCATATATTTATTCTAAGTAAATTTAAGTCATCCAATTAATAACAATATTGAATCAATTGTTTACATTTTTATGACACTTCTTGTTTTAAAATAATTTCGTATAAATAGAATTATTATTTTTAAACAAATTATTTAGTTTATATAATAAATAAATTTACTATCAAATGATATTTATTTATATTTTATTATTAATTTATTCTCGTCTGAATTTGACAGGTCTATCAGATGTAAACGCCGTATGCTTTTTTTAATATGTTGATAGGTGGCGTTAGTAGTATTTTATTATAATATAATCTGTTTAAAATATAAATAATAAATAAATAATAAAATTACTTTTTTCAATTTTAAAAATATTATTTAAATTTTAAGGATATAGAAAAAATAGTATGAAGCTCCGCGCTAGTCTACTGTATCGCCTACTATATCATCTTTTTTTGTACCTACTGTGGACATAAACTAGGAATAAAGGCGAACTACTCAGTAAAGTAGTCAAAAAGTAGAAAGAGGAACACTCGAGGACATGAAATTCGGTTGGGCAGAGATAACCAGACACGTGAGCTCCCACGTCGCATAGGAATAGCCTAGGCAACTATGTATTTAAATCAGATCTACCTATATGCCTCAAAAGGAAAATCTTTGACCAATGTATGTTACCCGTACTCACTTATGGAGCGGAAATATTAACACACGCAAAAAAGGGAGTTAATAAGATTCGCGTGACTCAGATGGCTATGGAGCACCAGATGTTAGGTGTCTCTCTGAGAGACCGAATCCCAAACGAAAAAATACGTCGTATAACAAATCCAACAGACGCTATGAAAAAATCGCGTCGTAAAATGAATGAGCAGGACACGTCACAGATTACAGAACCGATGGACAAAACGTATTTTAGAGTGAAGATCAAGGCAAGAAACAATACGGAGCAAAGGAGGCCCACCAACTAAATGGACTGTCGACCTGAAGCGTATTAGCAATAACTGGATACAAGCAGCACAAAGCGAAAAGCGATGGAAAGAGCTGAGGAAGACCTATGTCCAGAATTGGACGCATAGAGGTTGATGATGATGATGATGACTCGTCATAACTACTAAATATATAAGCTGTGAAAAATAGAGTAAAGAAAATAAGTTAAAAGTTCGGTATGGTTATGGACTCTGAAAGAAACTATGATAGTATTAGTAGTATTGAAAGTACATAAATAAGAGGACATTCTAATAGAGAAATGTAAAAAGTCAACTTGAAGATTTTAAGTATTTAGAATCTAAATTAAAATCACAAGGAGGAATGGATCCTGACAAAAACAATTTAATTACTAATACCACGAAACTATATTATGCAATAAAAATAGTTTTCAAAGAAAAAAAGAGGTTAGTTTAGAAGTTTTAGAAGTCAAAATGAAATAAAGCCATTTATATACCAATTTTACTCTAGGCGAAAGAAATGTGAATCTTAAGCGAATGGAATCTAAATAACCTACACGCGTACGAGATGCGGTGTCTTTATGTGGCAATTCTTGTTGAGGTAACTGTTCAATGGAAAAAGGAATCTTGAATTCTTCCAGTTACTTGTTGGTTAATATTATTAGGACTTCCGGTGATTTTAGTAAAGAACTCAAGACCGTAAATGAAACTGTAAAAATATAAAGAAACTTAATTGTTTGTAATAATGAAATAAAAATAAATATTACAAATATATTATTAATACATATTGCTAGTTCGATGTCTTGTAACAGAATGTCTTTGCCGGAAGAGAGTGATTTTTATGTCTTTCCGTTAAAATGTAACTGGACTTCTTATCTTACCTTTGCGATAAGCTGTCGCCGGGATGCAAAAGACGACAAGGGCGTCGTCAGGTCATTTAAGTTTTAACAATTGGAATTCCGAGATTAGAATGCATTAAAAATGCAATATTACACGCAAGTGAAATGGTTCACACATACGGTACAAATAAAATACAGCAGAACGATGAAAGAAATTTGGAAGATGGGTATGGACAAAAACGTAAGGGGACAGATCAAGCAAAATACGAAACAGCAAAGTTGGAAAAGTAGTCAACAGAAAAAGTATAGACTGAAGGTAATGTGCAAGGACAGCGCCCTACGGAGAATTGCTGTTTGTATCACCTCTATGTTCCGATATTATGTATATGCATACCATGTGATCCATATGTATGGAATAAATTCATTTTTAGCGTTATTATATACTATGTGAAAAAAACCTAAAACAGGTCGATTTTTATTCTTAAATTGACAATTTACAGTATGACAATAATATCCCCCTTCATCACCCCCTTTGAATTATAAGCACCCCTCGAAAATTTTAAATAGCAAAGGGGGTCGTGTAGCACCTTGTTAGAAAGGAATTATAGTCCTCTGTTCATCAATGTAAAGTTTTTTGAGTTTGTGCAATTATAACTTACAAAATTAATTTTTACAACATTAAATTAAATGTTCAACTTGACCACTATTATTTATTTCTTGATAATAACCGAGGCGATTTTGGAATTCTCATACAACACTTTGTATGACCTCGGGGTTATTTTGTTAATTTCTTCCGTTATCCTATTGTAATCTCCTAATAATTATCCCATAACTATTATATCAGCAATATTACCTGGTCTATAAAAATATACTTTAGAAAAAATCAGGTATTTTCGTATCTGTTCTGCTAAACATTGGGGAAAAAACTTTAAAGATAATAAAATATAAGTCAAAAACCCAAATAAACAATTGATATGAATCTAGTAAGATGCTGTCATTTTGGTATTTAAGGTTACTAGAAGACGTGAGTATAATATTTGTGCGCCTATTAAATTTAATTATGGCTCATTTGTCCCAGACTAAAAGAATAGACATTTTAACTATGATTGATTGTGGTAATAAAACAAGAGTTTAAAAGGAGGTTTGTGAAATGTTAAAATAAATACTCTGTTCAACAAATTTCGTAGTCTACAGTTAGCACAATTGCAAAGAACTTTCGTTATACTGGACATGTAAAAAATATTGAAAAACCAGGTAGAAATAATAAATTTATTGATGAAAAAAAGTTAGATGTACTTCTAGAGATTGAGGAAAATACGCATAAGACAACTCGAGAACTTGCCGCCATCAATGATGTAAGTAAATCATCTATTTTAAGAGTTTTACATAAAGAAAAATACCACCCTTACAGAGTTCAGTTGGTTCAGGAGTTAAATGAAGATGATCCTGATAGAAGGCAAGAATTCTGTGAAATGATGATGGACATAATGAACGCAGATTTGCAGTTTATAAACAAAATAGTTTTTTTCTGATTAAGCGACGTTTCATTTAAACGGAACGGTTAACAAACCGAACTGTAGATATTGGAACAGAGAAAATTCTCACTGAGTGTGTGAGACTCACACGCAATATCCTAAAAAATTAACGATTGGGCTGGTATTATTAACAATAAAATTATCGGTCCTTATTTTTTTGAGGGCGCAGTTGATGATGAGGTTTATCTAGATTTTTTTATTAACTTTTTTTTGCCTACATTACGAAGATTTTTTCCTAATGTTAATCATCCAAATTAGATAGATGGACCTTTTTACTACCAACAAGGTGGAGCTCTACCACATTTCTATAATTAGAAATTATTTAAACGAGGTTTTTCCCAATAGGTGGATTGGAAGACGTTGAACAATCGAATGGCCGGCTAGATCCCCGATGTGATTCCTCTCGATTACTTCTTATGGTTATTTAAAATCTAAAGTATAATTTACTAGACCAAATAAGATTGCTGATTGAAAAGTTGGGATAACGGAAGAAATTAACAAAATAACTCCCGGAGTCGTACAAAATGTAGAACGAGAATTCCAAAATCGCCTCGGGTATTGTCAAAAAGTGAATACTGGTCATTTTAAACATTTAATTTAATTGTAAAGTACATTGAAAAATACATTCTAAATATTATGTAACTTTCAGGTTTTTTTCACATAGTACTTAATAACGCTAAAAATGAATTTATTTCATACATATGGACCGCATGGTATATAAAAATTTGAATATTAGTCTAACATTTATTACGATAATCTCCTACTACAAGCCTCTCGATATACCGCTTTCCATACCTCTTTTTGAGTACTTTTCCATACTGGACAAGGCGGTTTTAATGGGCGATCTCAATAGCAGGCATACTCAATTTAGTGATACCTCCATAAATGTTCCCGGCAGAATGCTCTCAGACCTTCTTCTAGAGCTGCAAATTATTTCTCGGATCACCAATATTAAAGTTACCATATTTTTTAATTACCATGATGTCCATAGTCGATCACATCCTATGCATGAACAGAATACTGGATAAATTCGACAATAAATGTTTCATTGGAGATTCAATAACCTTCGAACATCTCTCACTACTAGTCAAAACTGACTTCAATTCTTCCTTATAGATAAAAACTGCTATCTATATGCAAGAATATTGTAAGGCTAACTGTAAATCATTCCAAGAACATATCATCCAAAACCTCCCTGAGTTGTCCAAGAAGCCTCAACCCTAGCAATTCCTACAATTCGATTATGTCTATATACTCCAGCGCTCCCACAAAAAGTAAACAAGCTAAAACAAAACAATGGATGCGAGTTACGGCCAGCCTAGACAACTAAGATGGTTCAAAATTCTGGAACAAATTCAAAATCATAACTAAACAAAAAAGTCAACCACGCTTACATCTCAAAGTCAACGACATCATCCTTAACAGTCCGCAAGATAAGGCCAAAATCTTTCAAAATACATTCCAGGCTACACACTCATTTCCCAAATAACCCCAACTTTAACGAAAGTTACAAAAGGAGAGCCGAACGGAGAGTGAAAGGTATATTCCACTACCACCAGATCGACATAAAGCCCCATCCTCATCAAATGGTAGCCCTTGTGACTGAGGACTTAGTAGTGAGTAACTTAGTTAAAAACACATCTGGCCCATATGGCATTAACGGAAGATGCCTCAAACATCTTGCAGAGAGTATAATACCGCTGCTCATCAACATAATTAATGTATGTGTCACGCTGAGCTACTGTCCAACCTCATGTAAGGTGGCCAGCTCAGTCATAATTCCCAAACCAGGAAAACATCCAACCAACCCTGAATCATATAGATCTATTTCGTTAATAAGCACCCTAGGTAAAGTCTACGAGAGGATCCTCAAGGAGAGACTCGTAGACTTCCTAGACGCTCACTTTGCCACTCCAAACTATCAATTCAGATTCATGACTGAACATTCCGCTTAAAATGCATTAATTGAAAAAGCAACCTTCATCTCACAACCAATTAACAAAAAAAGATACGTCATAGGCATCTTCCTAGACGTCCAGAAAGCTTTCGATCGGGTCTGGCATATAGGCCTGATTGAAAAACTTGCTAGACTGCCCATAACTTTCGTTAAAAGTTAATAAATTCCTATCTCTAATCGGACCATCTGGATCAAAGTTCATAACATACTACCCTGACTATTCATTCCACAAGCTGAAAGACCCGAGGGCACAAGTCTAGCTCCAAACTGTACACAATCTACAACAGTGATATCCTCCGCCCTCAAGCTAGATCGGAATCCGTATTGTTATTTGCCCAATTAGGAAATCATTTCAGGACAGTAACTCAATAATCGTTAATAAAAAATAACACGAAATCAAAGTATTGACACGAATAAAGAAATAATATAAAATTTGATAAAAAAAGAGAAAAGAGGTTTGAAAAAACAAGCAGCATATTTTTATTTACTTATCTTTTAAAATTTGTAAAAATTTTATTTGATTGATAGTTGTTATATGTATATTATAGGCATATTTTTTTCTAAACGTGTAAAATTTATGGTACATTCTGATAAAACTAACACTTACCAATTTTCTGTCCCGTCATTTCTAACCCTTTTCTTAACTTCTCCTCTGAGCGTCCACTAACTCCCCAAGTCAAGTTCCGTCCATTTTCCTTAGATATAGTATAAAGATACGGAATACACTTATTTCCTGTAAATCCACTTGCACCGAACAATAAAAGGTCCAATCGTTGGTCACTCATCATGATAACTAAACAAAATTATATATGTTAAAATTATGTATTGAGGATTTCGGAAGATGCAGACAACGTCCTTTCATTTTAGTATGCTGTTTGAGTATCAACTGGTTATAGACGTCGGTAATGGCGAGCGCGGCAATTATTTGCATTTAAATGAGATACCAGGTGATCAAGAAAGTATTTTGAATTTAAAATATAAACTTTTTCAATCAAATGCTAAGAGATGATATAAGTAGAAACCAATTAAGTGTTCTACTGAACAGTCGCAATCGGAACTTTAACACTTTCCTTACATTCCGTGACCTGTCCGGTATAACGTTAGATTTTTACTCTACATAACTCTAGAGCAGGGTTCTCAGACTGTGGTACATGTACCACTGGTGGTACATATCATTATTTGCGGTGGTATGCAAAACTCAAAAACACAACCAAAATCAGCACCTCATAAAATGACACAAAATAAATTTAAAATAGTATTTTACTTTTTTTGTTTACAAATATTTAATTGTACTTAAATAAAAAAAAAGTACAAAAGCTTAAAACATTTCCAATATTAATACAGCATCCTCCTCCTCCTAAGTGCCTTCTCTATTGAGGTTGGCGATCAATATGGCAAATTTCTCTGTTCTGGGCTTGATGGATTAAGTCATTTCCTGTTGTGTGAGTTCAATCTCTGATGTTTCGGAGCCAGGATTTCTTCTTTCTTCCTATACCTCTTTTACCCTCGATTTTGCCTTCTAATATTACCTGGAGCTGCTCAAATTCCTTATGGCGCATTATGTGTCCTAGATATGACGTCTTTCTAATTTTGATTGTATTAACCAGATGAGGTCGTGTGCTCATTATTTCCAGTACCTCTTCATTTGTAGTTTTGCTGGTCCAGCTTATTCTTAACATTCGGCGGTACATCCACATTTCGAATAAATTCAGTTTGTTGACGTCATCATAATTTATAACCGCATTGTGAATGCGGTTATAAATTACTCGCATAAAAATCTTAGCAGCATGACTCATTAGGGATACAGTTCGATGGTCTTCATATTTCCTTGCTTTTTGTTTTTTAGGAAGAGCTACATATGTGGATGTTAGCCAGTCATGCGGTAGAGTGCCATGTTCATATATAATGTTAAAGAGGTAGGTTAATTTCCCGATAGCATCATCACTCAGGTGTTTAAAATGTTCGGCTGTTGTTAGATCTTCGCCGGGTGCCTTGTTGTTCTTTGCGTCTTTTATTGCCCGCATAACTTCTTCGGTTAGAATACTTAGTTTTCCATCGGTATCTATTTGTGGGGCCCTTCTGCTCTCCGATCACCAAACAAATCTTTAAGATATTGTTCCCATATTTCCTTCTGTTTTTCAGGGTGTAATTCCATTTGGTTTTTCGTGTTTGTTACAGTAGATAAATGTTTGGGTTTCCATATCCCAGCGACTTCTTTCACTTTTCTGTGTAATTCTCTATATTTATGCTTCCTTTGCAGATCTTCTACCTCTTTACATTTTTCTTTCATCCACTCTTCCTTAGCTACATTTATCTTTCTCTCATTTTTCCTGTTAAGCTCTTTGTATCTTGTTAGGTTTTTGTTTTTTTACCATCCGTCTCCTCTCCATAATTTGTAATATTTCGTTTGTCATCCATGGTTTTCTTTGTTTACGGTTTTCTTTCTGTATATTTTGGTTTGCTGCCTCCAGGACGGTATTTTTAATTTTTCCCCACATGTCTTCAATGTTTTCTTTTATTGTCTTCTCTTTAGTGGGAGCTAATGTCTTAGACTCTAACTGCGTGTCTACCATGTCTTTATACATATGTTTTTGTCCCTGGTCAGCACTACTCCATGCTACTCTCTGACTGGGTTTAGCCTTGCCTACTCTTTTAAGTTTTATTCTGACAGTTGCAACTACAGGATTGTAGTCTGAATTTATGTCACAGCTTGGGTACGTTTTTACATTTAGAATACCATTACGGAACCTAATAATAATAACCTAATAATACAGCATGCAAAACTAAATTAATCCAGTCCAGGCATTTAGCGGTTGCTTATTTTGGGAACACAAAAACCATTTGACATTGCTTTTATTGCTCTTTAAAAACTCCAGTTGGTAAGTATTGTAATCGTTGCAGGTACAGTGGAACCGTCGTTAACCGTCAGGGTCCATACATAAGTTATATTGACAACATAAGTAAAAATTTAGTCATCAATTCATTTTATTTGAGCATTGCGATAAGCAAAACGAAATTCGTTGAAATGTACACGTGAAGTTATGCCACCACCGCATCTTTTATGTAAATAATTATTGTTCTTATTCAAGGCTCTGGATTAAATTTCAATTTAAATAGGTAATGATAGATGCTACCATCATGGACGTATTTATACGTCCATGGGTACCATGCTTTATCGCAAGCCGAAAATAAAAACGCAGAGCACAATAATTATTACAGTCAATATCTGTGTGTCGACAAAATTCAGTTTGATTCAAATTCGAACGTTGATTGTGTCACTTAGTATTTGTGGTTCGTTCAAAAAAGAAGCGAAGGTGGTCCTTTATCTGGACCAATTCTGGCCGAAAAAGCATTGTTTCTCAACATGAAATTGAATGGCGATCCTTCATTCGGAAACAGCGTTTGGTTGGAAAAGTTCAAAAATCGCCACGGTATACGGGAAATGTTCAAGATATGATCGATGAATATGGTTTGACACGCGATCAAGTGTTCAATGCAGATGAAACTGGTTTAAACTACAAAGCATTGCCAACGAAAACACTCGCTGCACTGTCTGAAAAATATAAACCAAGATTTAAAACCGCAAAAGCAACGAATCACAGCAATGATATGTTCAAATGCAAGCGGTGACCATCACCTTTCTATATTATTGATTGGTACAGCAGAAAAGCACGTTGTTTCAAGGGCATAAATATGAACGCGCTTTCCGTTAACTACTACGCAGGACATAATGCATGGATGTCCCAGGAAATATTCGCTTACTGTTTCAAAACGGTATGTACTGCAAACCAAAATTTGTTTTGGTTTTTGTTTTTTTCTAACGTTTTGTTTTTTATGTTTTTATACCGGACGTTCACAAATACTTGTAAGGAAAAAAATTTGCCGTCAAAGGCGATTCTCATTTTGGACAGTGCACCTGCCCATCCTGAAGCCAGTATGCTGTGAAGTGAAGATGAAATTATGACGTGTTTTTTTCTGCCTGCGAATGGATCAATCGGTCATTTAAACATTCAAAAGAAGATTCAGAAAAAAATTTATTCAAAACCTAGTTATGGAAGAGGAATATTTTTTGATGTTTCGGAAGTAACGCTGAAAATTGAGTGGAATAAATTATGGCCTAAATCAACTTCAGATAAAAATGCCCCCGTGACAGACGAGCGTGATGAAGGTAACAACTGAAAGCCTGTTGCCTAAAGATGACATAAACGAATGGTTAATTTGTGATGAGGACACAAACGACTATCGATTGCTAACAGATGATACAGTTGTTACAATGTCAACAGAGGCGAACGAAACTGATTCAGAAGCTGACAGAGACTTTGATGGTGGCGATGATGATGCTAATGCAACTCACAAAGATTTGCGTAAAAAGCTAGAGAAGCTGCATCGCACATGCAACAATTCATTAGGTATTCTCGGCAAGAAGAAGTAAATAAGGTAGATTTGATGATTTTACGTCGAATAAGAAATTCAGCTGTTGCAAAATGTGAAGTAACAATAAAAAAATATTTCGGAATATTTTAAATCAAATTGATTCGACACTACTAACATAAATCCCTCTTATATTTTCAACTAAAACATACAAATAAAATTTGAGAGTTATACTATGATTTTTTTTTAATGTTCTGTTAACCGTCTTTTCGTTCCGGTGCCCTGACGGATAATCGAGGTTCCACTGTATAGTGAATTACCATTGCATTTAAGAGATTTCTAATTAACTCTTTAATTCTTTCGTCGCAATTTACACATAAATTTCTTTGTTTAACCCTACATTACTATCCGGGGTACAGGTGTACCCCAGGCTGTCGTAAAAGTCCTGTAATTTTTTTTACTTTTGGCAACACTGTAACGCGCGCTCCTGTAATATCTTGTTTTAGTAAGTCAGTTCCTCACATGAATTCGTCACAGTGATGTTCTTTGGGAGGGATTATCCCTTTTTCGAGGGATTTTTTGAAGCAAATGGGATAAAGGGATTTTTCTATCGAAATGAGGGATATTATCGTATTAAGCAAAATAACTTATTTCAGTACTTATTTAATAAATATCTACAACATGTGACATCTATCGGCAAAACCTGTAAGTAATTTAAATTTCAATGGAGATTTCTATCTAGGTTACAGTTTTTTAAGTTGAGTTCTTAACATAAAGTGACCAATGACGTATAATATACGTCATTGAAAGTGACCACACATTGACAAATAACTGTTATCTGTCATAGGTCAATGCATGATACTATGACCACAGAATAATAAACAATCAGAAGGGCCACTCTCAAATGCCGCCTTTGAAGTTTTTCAGCACGCACGCCATGTTTTGAGAGGACACAAACACATGATTTGTGAGGTTATGCAATTGTTTACATTTATGTTTAATTATATTATATTTATGTTATTATATTTAAAACTGTTAATATAATTGTATAGTATGTCTATGATTGCCGTAAGTCAAATAAACCTGGTTTTTTTTTCCATGCACACCACATAAACAACACTGGTTCCCTTTAAAAACCTCGTAAAACATGGCGGAACGTCTGCGCGAAGGAGATGCGCGTACTTTATTTTCCGTGGAGAGTGGGCATTCTGTTTGTTTATTATTCTGTGCTATGACTATAAGATAAGATATTGCGCATGTTTTTGTGACGTCATTGGAGAGTTGCACGTTCGAAATGTCAGTTTTTTGTACGTGTCAATAAATAATCTTTAATAAATAGTTTGGAGATATCCTTATGTGTACAATTATTGTAATTATTGAACTTCTTAACTTATTTTCGTCCAGTAATTTCATCACAGAATGCATACAAATCCCATTTAACTTTAACAAGAATTCAAATTCTACTCTCCAATGACGGCATGCGCGAACACAACCGATTTTGG